CCTAAAACCATTCAAATGCCCCCCACAGTTTCGTTGCAGCCTCTTCAAACACACACCACAAGCCTCTCTCACATCATTAATCCGTCCCGATTTGATCTCTGCATGTTTAACACAAACACAAACGTGTGGGGCCCTGACTCATTCCCGAGGCCCATCGAAGCAACCAGTTAATCTGGGAGTCAACAAAAGAGGACATGCGTCTTAATGATCTCCCCTCCCAGTTGGCCCCATAACGGAGGCCTTCCAGTCATTCCTATGGTAATGTACAGGTGGGTGCGTACGGGTAGGGACGGGATGGGAGCAATTGGGAGCAGCTGAGGACAGTTAAGGAAAGAAAGGAAGAAAGAAAGTCGGCTTGAAAAGGTTTTACTTACATCATCTTGATATCATTCAGAGCTATTGTCTGTGAATTACTGAATAAAGTAGCAGCATCACCTTCTTACAATAGTCCTGTATCAAACCAAGTGTCTTTTTTAAAAGTTTACATTCTTATTTGGATTTAATTTGAACTTTATTACATTCACATTTTAATTGGAGGATTTCAAACTATTGGCTTAAAAGTGAGTCATGTTAAAATATATTCATAAATACCCATGATGTGCAAGTTTCATTCTTTATCTACAGATACTGTTAAAAGCAACTTAAAAAATAATCAGCAAAAGAGCAAAAATAGGTTTAAAGTAATATTATCACACACTGCATAACTACATAATGTTATCTCAGCCCTGTATCTTATTACATGACATAAATGTAGTTTGATTTCTACAATAAATCCCCCCAAACTCCAAGCAAAGTCCTGCGAATATTCATGTGGCCGCTCCTGTCTCCTGCTCCTGCAGGTGTTGCGAAAGTCCTGCAGCCCTCTGCCTTTATACTCCGTTATTTTTGACCTGCTGAGCTTACGCAAGACGAATTCCGGTTCTGTCCACGAGCCAAGTGGAAATGGACTCCGTTTCCTGAGGAAAAACTTCATAGTTGCTTCCTCTACTTTCACTCTGCAGTCACCTTTACATGCTTGTAAGGATGCAGACGTGCAGCTGCTCTCGGCCTCTACATGCTGCCGTCATGGAAAAAGCACAATATCCCTATTTAGAAAAAGTTTGTATTTAGTGTAATTGCTGCATGTGGCAAGTTTAAAGCAGAATCTTCAGGCATAGGCCTCCTAGTGATGACTTGTCCGTAGTATCCTTTAAAAAAACACACAATGAAGTCTAATTAAAGAAAAATCAAACCCACTAAACACATGTTACGAGCTCCGCTGCAGAGAAAATTATCTTGTCGCATCAAAGGCCTGATCAAACTGGGGTCATGTAAAAATCAGCTAGTCAAGAATAGAGAGACAGCCTCAGATAAAGAATCGCCCTGGGCTCAGGTTTCTCCTTTGTGACTCTCTTTTCTAAAAGGGAGGAAGTCTTGCAGCTCAAGTGTTTTCCAAACACAATTACTTAGGATTACAGTAGAGCAGACAGACGGAGAGAACCGGCATCTCACCCTGGACACGCTGAATTGTTAACAAACTAAACAATAAAAGCTGTTTCATCTTCAAATGCTTGTGCTTCTGACTTTTAAAGCTTTTTGTTGTACTGCGTCTAATTTTTATGTCCTTGTTCTCTTATCTCGATTTGATCTGTTTTCTTCCTCGTTTTGCCGCTTTTAATTAAAAATTCTATTTAATTCGTTGTGAAAGGCTGACACAATTCACATTTACACAGGCCTGTATCAGATGCTTTGTCGCATACACCGTCTAGAAATTCAATATGCCTTTTTTTTAAAAGATTATCTTACTATGTTTTCCAACAAAAAAGGCAATGAGGAAAAGAGCTACAAACTGAGGCAGCTACTTGGTCAATGTGTTGTTACTTAGATTGTGTTAAAAGTAGTTGACAAGCAGGCAGAAGACTCGAAACACTTAAAAGTAGCAAATAGCTAAACAATGAACTGGTTTTGGTTTCAGCTGTAAGTATGCATAGCTGACACATGTGGTGAGATTTAACAAGTAAATTGCTGAAATAGCTACGACAAATGGCTAACTGACTAAAAGACATGAATAAATGGTCATCTTAACTGATAAATAGCTTAAATGTTTAGCAAAAAGTCATGGATGAATTGTTAAAATACTTTGCGAAGTGAAAAGCTTTTACTTAACCCTTTATGGGGCAAGCGACCATATTTGGGAACTTCCTGGGACGTTCAAAATGTCCGCCCTGTGCCGCTCCTTGAGGTTGAAGAACCATGTGATTTAGTTTTTATGTTAGCGCCAAGATTACTACGTTACGAAAAATGTCACTAAACATGTGTTCCAGGCACTTTATAAATGCTTTGTTACTGGTTTGATTTAACCGCACTTTGAATTATTTTTTGAGATAAGTGCCAAAACCACTACCCCAAGAGCAATGTGACTAAATGAACTTGCCAAGCACTTTATAAATGCTTTTTAGTGGTTGTGTGAGTATCATTACCTCAAACTAAAATGTTTCTAATTAAATGGTTTTTGCAGTTAGTTATTTTTTCTTAATCATAGATGGGCAAGCTACCATATGTGGTAACTTTATTAATCTTGATTTGTGTTTCAAGGAGTGCCCTATAAAGGGTTACAAGTAAAAGATATGATTAAAATGACAGTAGGAATGGCTAAACCTAGCTGAATAGATAAATGTTTGGGATTTATAGGTACATTGTTCAAATAGGCCACCCATAGCAGGCGCGAAATGGTTCTCGTTAAATGTAACGATCAGCGGGTGCAGCTAGCTGAAAGCAGGTTAACTGATAGCCGCTTGAAATAGTTAGCAAAAAGTACAGTTAAAATGTAGTGAAATGCTGCAGAGAAGTAAATTGACCATTAAAACACATAAGAGTAAAAGTAGATACATATTGAAGCAGCTAGCTGAAAGTAGCCCAAATAGTGAAAATGGTTAGCTGCATTGATTTAAAAAAATGGTTTGCTATTAGCCGCCCAACAAAGACATGTCGGGGCGAGTTTGCGGTTCAGATCTAACAGTAGCCTGATCCTTAAATGCTTGCAATAGTTAACCAGAAATAAATGTTAAGATAAAGCTATAAGTTAAAATAAACAGTTAAAACAGAGAAGTAAATACACAACTAGACCAGATAACAGCTGAAGAGGATGAATGTTGAGCTAGCTGAACTGCTATGAACAACTAGCTAAAAGAAGCACGATTGGTGAAAATGGTCAAAAGTTGTCGGGTATATTGTTAACATGGGTTGCTATTAGCAAAGAAATTATGGCTCTTTTAAAAAAAAAAAAAAAAACTTTAAGTGAAAGATAAGCAGTTAAAAGTAAATTAGCGCTTGAAACAGATACAGTGGATTAAAACTGAACTAGCTAGCTTAAAGTAGTGCGACAGACTAATGGTCACAATGGTTAGTGTAGGTGTTAAAGTTTACTGGTTCACTGGTGACGAAGAAAAAAAGTTTAAAACAAACAAACAAACAAACTTAAAGTAGCTAAAAGTAGTCAAATGTATAAATGCTTGAAATAATTAACCAGAAGTGCAGATAAATTGTAGCTACAAGCAAAAGATAACTGCTTAAAACAGACAGTCAAGTAAAGGGGAAAAATGTGGCCAAAGGCATGTAAAAGTAGCAGCTAATTAGTTTGAGTAAGAAGCTTTCCAAAAGTAATGGCTAAGCAGCTCAATTATTTAGATAGAAGAAATGGAAAAATCATCGCCAAATTTTGGATAAAAGAAACAAATGGTGGAATAGATGACTGAAACCAAACAGTTAAAATGAGAAAAAATATTAAAATATTGAGTTAAAACAAAAAAAGCAGCTTTTTATTACACATGACATAAGTAATGCTGTCAAATATCTTCTGGTTTATAACCAGTCTCAATGAACATACCAGAGAACAACAGGCGGTGTTGATGAACAGCTGTTTGACGCTCTGTGGTTCAAACAGGTTGGGATATTTGTTTTGATTATATGATTTTCTC